CTAATACACTTTATTGACATTTTATTTAAATTGGTTTTGATTATGAAAGAGGAAGTTGTTTCTTAGTTTACAACTCAGGTACACTTAGATGCTCTAGATTCCACTAAATATTCCAGTATCATTTGATTGACTGATACAGTTTTTGTTAACATTTCTGATTAAGATGTTTTGAATACTTATTTTGAATATGAAAAGTTTTTATGCTATTATTTTGCAAAGCAAGTTTAAAAAATTCAAAATTAAAATAAACACATTTAAAATTAAGTTTTTAATTAAAATTGAATTAACTTTTTAAAGGACTTTAAAGATGTTTTAATGAAGTACCTAGGATGTGTTAAAGTCTTAAATATTGGTTTGACAGTTCTAAAATTTGCCTTCTTTTTTTTTATTTTTTTTAATTCAATATCTTTGTTCCAACAAGACTACAAGCAACCACTATTAGAGTTGGAAGTTACTGCAGGAGAAAAGATGAAGTTTATAGAGCAAGATAACGATTGACAGATGACTTGAAAGATTGAAAATTATATGAATCGGGAAAGCAAGATAAGGGAACTGAGTTCCAAAGAACTGATGTTCAAATTTTTTTTTTTTTTTTTTAATTTTAATTCACCTCCTCAAGGCCGAGAAAGCCACTACAGATGAGGAGGCTACTTATTTGTGGTTATAACCCTCTCTCAACTCTATAACTCCGAAACACGAACCTTGATGAAGGCCGCTGCGCAGAGAAACGAGTTGAGCATGGTACTACCAGGGAGGTGGTGGTGATCAAACACGGAACCACTTGTTTATGAAGCGAGCGCTCTACCACTACACCACTACGGCAAGTAAAAAAACTAGACGAATGAGAGTTTTTGAGCACTTAGGAATAGTCACAGGAAAAAAATGAGATTTAAATTAATGAGAAGTAACATGAGAATAATAAAATTTATTTAGTAGATGGCACAAGAGAGGCTAGCTCTTTAGAGCAGCAACCATTATAGCATTTGTAGAAAAGAGAAAGAGAAGCAACATGTGATAATAATTGAAGGCTGGCTGCAAGAACAGGTCCAACTATGTTTACAATACTTTTTTGCACCTTGCTTAAAAAAGAGGAAGGGAAACATTGGAAAATCCATCCTAGATATGGCAACAGAATTCCATACAATGAAGGATTTGAGATTTATAGAGATTAAGAATAAAATCCGGAGTAAGAAAGTGTTGAGCACGATAAAAAGATGCTAATTTTGCAATCAATTTGATATACCGTTTCCAAGAAAGATTGGAAGTAAGAGTTAATCCTAGATGATGAAGGGTAGATTACTCATCAATTACATTACCATTCATAAATATAGAAAGATCTAAATTATTGCAATAACGATTGGCTGAAAAAAATTGGGTTTTATCTGAATTAAAGTTCACCAATCACTGTGAGCACCATACTGTAGCAGAATTGAAATCTTTTTCAAGCTTAAATATCCCCTCTAAGCAATCAGAGAGTGTTGGCTTCTTATCAAGATGAGAATAAATAGTAGTATGATTAGCAAACAATGCCATTTTTGATGTGAAATATCTGGAAGATTGTTAATGTAAATTAAAAAGAGAATAGGGCTAAGGATATAATCTTGAGGAACCCCTGAAGTGACAGGATATGAAGAAGAGTGCTATCTATAGAGAGCAACTTTTATATTATGATTGGAAAGGAAGGATTCAATAATCTTAAAGATATTACTTGACACACCATAAGAAGAAAGCTTATGGAGAAGACCAGCATGCCAAACTTTATCAGAAGCTTTAGAAATGTCAAGGACAATAGTCTTAACCTCTTGACCTCTTGATCTTTATCTAGTGCGCAATCAAATGTATTGGTTATTACTGTTAGCAAAACATCTATAGAACAAGGAGATTGAAATCCATATTGATGATCAGAAAATAAGTTATTAGATTCAAGATGAGAGATTAAGTGTTTGTTAATTAAAAATTCAAAAACCTTGCTTATGATAAGAAACCTAATGGGACAGTAGTTAGACGAGTCAGATCGCTCTCTAGAATTTTTGAAAATAAGGATAACAGATACCATCTATACTTTCAAAATTATTTAACAAGTGCATATCAAAGTCTTGTTTTCCAGCATGCTGGAAAACAAGATTGAAATGCACTTGTTAAGTAGTTTTGAAAGTATAGATGACAGGTCTGGAGAACACTTCTGCAAGACTATAGCAGGTATGTTGCCCAGACCACAATTGTAGAAGTGTCTAAGCAGGAAATCACTTTAGATACAAAAGCTGGAATGATAAGAATGCAATCAAGCAATTTGTCAACCTGTTTGTCGACAATATCAGGTAGAATGCAACTAGTGGATGCTGATATTGATATTGATGAAAAGTTCTTAGCAAACAATTCAGCTTTGTCATTAGGCGATGTAACAAAATTTGAACCATACAAGAGAGGTGGAATAACAGATTTGCCATAACAGAATGAGATCAGAAGCACTTAAGGGGGGTGAATGTGGAGAAACTGAGCACTGACTATGATCAGAGACAAGACATATATCGAGTAGAGAAGGTAAATGATTTGGGTCATCTGGAAAACAAGTTGGAAAGTTGACTATTTGAGTTAGAGATTGAGAAAGGCAAAAGTTGTCGGTCTTAAGGCCTGCAGAGTCACTGACACTAGAGCCAAGCTATTCAATTTGATGAGCATTAAAGTGATCAACAACAATGATATTGGCTGATAGATTAATAGAGAGGGCATGGTTAATTTTGTCAGAAATAACATTGAAAAGAAGGCCCTCTTAAGATGGAGGAGAACAATATAGAGCAAAGAGAAAGATTATAGGGTGAAGTGGTGCTAAACGAAAGCACATAAAATAATAGTTGGTGGATTCAAACCTATTTTCCCAACAATTGGGGGAATTCTCATAAATGTAAATGCCCAGGCCAAACATGTGACTATTGGAGTCTTTACAAATTAAAAGAAGACAACCTTCAACACTAAGATGAGCTCAAGTTTGTTTCACAAAGAGCAAGTAGATCTGGTGAACTTTGCAAGAGATAAGACTCAACAGAAAAAGAGTTACTTTTTTTTTTGGACTTATGTCGTTTTTAAATTTGTTAAAGAACTTGACTCAAAGCACAGATAGTACTCAGTACACTATTTAATAGCCCAAGCAATTGCCTCATTACTATTAATAAACCCTAAGCCATAACAAAGGGCTCCAAATGGTCTCGGTAATGCACACCAAAAGTACAAACTGGGACTCTCTGAGAGTTGCCACAGAGTTCGGGAAGCCTAACTACCAGCCAGCCTCAGAACCATAAAACTAAGTTTTATAGCTGTACCCTCATTAGGAGATTATAGAATGAGTTGCCTAGTCATATAAACAGAGACATAAGCAAAATCCATGCATTGAGTCAAGAAAATCCAGCGTTCAACATCCTATACTGGAAACAATGTATTGTAAATACATCTGCACTAGCCTAATAGATAAAGAATGGGTGCGAGTTTGGTCAACACATAGAATCTGTTTACCTCATAAATCTTTATCTAGGAGGCCTTCTACAAGACAGTAGCCAGATGCGTTTAACAGCCCAAGTTAAGTATTTTTATGGAGACACCATCTCTAGCCTTTACTCAACCAAGAGCCCCAAGGCTGGGGGTGTTTTTAGTTCAAGTTGACTTCTCCTACCCATATATACATATCATTTAGTTCCAAACAGGTGTACAAATGACAAGAATGCAATGACCCGCAATAACTGACAGCAATAATACGATTAAAAAATTTTAAAACATTAAATAAATAAATTAATATGAGTTTTATTATTAGTAGTATAATGAGAATTGTATTCTTGTTTTTATTAGTGTTGTAATAAAAATAGTAATGTTATTATAAGCTATAATAATTGTAGTAGAAGTATAAGTTAGTTAGTGACCAGGGCCCCAGCTCCAGCTAAAAATGAGACTTTTTGCAAATTCAACCCTGGCCCCAGCCCCTACAAAATTGGATATAGCAGGGGTTGATAGCTGGGGCTAGAAATAAATTTATAATTCTTTATATATTATAATTTTATACTTATATTAACTATTCATTAAATTCTGGCATATATTTATGCTAGTATTTAATAAATAGGGACAGATACAGTAAAAGGATGCAACTTGTTGAATAAAAAGCCAAGCAAGAATGAGTTTTGATTTATTGTAATAGCTCATTTGAGCATTGACCGTGATTAGAGAAACATTATAAAAAAGGAAGGCTAAAGCCTGCTACTGCTGATGATGATGATAATGATGATGATGATGATGATGATGATGATGATGATGATGATGATGATGATGATGATGATGATAATGATCATGATGATCATTATCATGTTGATCATAATGATGTTTATAAATGAATATATATACAAAATCAAACATAAATTTTGAAAAAAAAACAAAACTTTAGGATGTATAAATGTTTATGCAGCCCCGTCACAAACCTGGCCCCGGCCCCAAATTTGGTCCCGGTCCCGCCTATATTTTTCTTAAACCCGGCCCCAGCCCAGGTCAAATATTAACCCCATCGTTTACTAGTAACAGTAATAAATATAATATTGTAATAAATAATACAAGTAATACAATAATATTGTTTATAATAGTAATAATAATATTGTTAATACCAAATCAAAGTAATAATAATATTAATACCAGTAAAATAAGTAATGATAAAAATGTTATACTACTAATAATAATCATAATAATAAAAATGAAACTAATCATAAGAACAACAACAATAATATTAAAATAAATAAACCAATAGCATAAAAAAATTGATCAACAAGTATAATAATAATATAAGAAAAAGGTTCAAGCACAGGATAGAGATGTCTCATATTAGATGAAGATAATTAGATCAATATTAATAATCTTAAATAATTTTTTAATCTTTTTGATAAAAATCTATTTATTATTTATATTTATAATTATTTTTATATAATTATATATATATATTTATTATTTATGATTAAATTAACTTTATTCAGATGTTGGTTATAGTGGATACGACCCAATGCAACAGCATAAATTGTTTGTTTCTGAACTGATTAAAAACAGTGTATTGTCACACAACCTTAAAAAGTGTTCTCTAAGCATATTACCCATATGTTTTTGTGGAAATTATTTTGCTGAGCCATTGTTTAAGGTGATTAAATTTTTTTTTATAATAGCTTTTGCTTATTTTTTGTTTGTATGTAAAATACACTCTAATTGTTGTATTGTTACACTTATGGTTATATGTTTTTTGTATAAATTGATTTGGTATGAGTTTAAGTGTGTATGAGTTTTATTTCATGAATACTGTGTTTTAGAATTTTCATGTTTTCATGAATTTTTCACAAATACTAAAGTTCACAAATATAATATAAAGCTTTTATAGCATGTTTAAACTTTATTATTAAACTTTTTTTTTATTTTTAGTATGATAAAATTTTAATTTTAACATAAATTTGTTTTATGGATACCAGGATAAGAAGTTAAAAGTTTGTTTACAAATGATAATAATTTTTTCAAGTCTTATCAACTTTTTTTGGGCATTTTTGACGAATAATTGTATTAGTAATTTATAATAAAATTAGAAATTTTGAAAAATATTCAAATTAAAATTATTTTGAGAAGACAGCTAAAAAAAAAAAAGTTTAACAGATGTATATAATGAATAAAAACTTTAAAACTTTACAAATTTTGGAGTCTGGTTCTAATTGTTTATTGATAAAAACTTGTATTCAGTCAAAATTGGGTTTTAAATAATGTTTAAATAACAAAATTAAAAGGGCTGTAATACAATAGTTTTTGGCATTTTAGAGGTTAGTCCATAAAGGACATCATCATTTTTTAGACAACTTTTGACACCCTTCCCCCCCCTCTTTCTTTTGTCACTGGTTGTCCTTTATCCTATACCCCTTTTAAAAGGATGTTATAAATATCGACCACCCCCCTCTCTCTTTATTTAAAAAAAAAATTTGTTCTTAATTTAGGCATTTTTGTGGAAATTTTTTACATAAATTACATTTTTCTGTGTTTGCATATCATTCAGTAGCTTATTGGGTTTTTCCACGTTTGTTTCAGTTGTTTGTTCTTGTAGGCCTCCTTGAAAAAAAAATGTTATATTACTCACATTCTATATATTAAGTTTAATCAAAGTGTGTCATGGGAACTTGCCTCACTACTTGTCCCTCCAAGGATTTTTTAAATAATCTTTAATTGATATAGCACAAAAATGTATTATTTGGAATATTAAGGCCCTCAATTTTGGAATATTAAGGCCCTCAATTTCGATGAGGACGAAATTTTCAATTTCGTCCTCATCGAGCCATTCAGCAAAAGTGGCATTCTCTTCTACCACAATCACAGCCATTAACTCTCTTTTGCATTTGCGGCATTATAAACAGGTCTAACTTGCAAAAGGGTATTTCATATTCTAAAGCAAATAGCCATTTAGTTAATAAAAATGGAAGGAGTAATGCTTTTTTAGCATGACTTGGGAGGTAAAGTACAAGTTACATTTCTTAAAGATTCTTTTAGATAAACTTGATACAATTCACAATTTGCGTGAAACATTTGCTGGTGCACACATGAGAGGCTAACCATTCCTGATCTTCAATAAGTGATGACAAGCATTAAGCTCCATCTTGCCACATAGATCAAGATACTCAACCACCCCTGGATCAATCATTAGACCTGAAAATATCGAAGCACTAAATTTTGATTTTGCTTTCCAGCAAAATCAAAATTCTGTTTTTCCAAAAAAGATCCACTGTCCTTCCTTAAATATAAGTCACATATATATATATATATATATATATATATATATATATATATATATATATATATATATATATATATATATATATATATATATATATATATATACATATATATACATGTAAATTAATGTAAAAATGTAAATTAATAAAAACTTATACATTTTGTCTTGAATATCATATAAAGCATCTATAATATCAATGCATCAATCAATATATACATATATATATATATAATATATATATATATATATATATATATATATATATATATATATATATATATATATATATATAAGAATATATATATATATAAGAATATATATATATTATATATATATATATATATATATATATATATATAAGAATATATATATATATATATATATATATATATATATATATATATATATATATATATATATATATATGTATATATATATATAAGAATATATATATATATATATATATATATATATATATATATATATATATATATATATATATATATATATATATATATATATATATATATATATATATATATATATATATATATATATATATATATATATATATATATATATAAGAATCAATATTGGGCCCTTTACATTTTGTTATTTCCTTTAATGCTTTACCTCAAAATTATAAACAGATAAGCTAAACTCTTTGCATACACTTGCATATTGTATAATAAAAGCAAACAGCAAGCATGAAGTGAAAACAAAATCACCATTCTCAAAAATTCTTGTTGCATCTTGTTTATTAACAAAGCAATGCATTCTTGGTTTATCATGCTCAAACTTTACTAACTACTTTGAAGTTGTCAATCATTCAATAGCAATAAGAAATAACAGCAACTTAAATAAGAATAAAATAATTAAAATTTCAAAAATTGACTAGAATTTGGTAAAAGGTATTACTCTGGTGTACGAGTCTATAATGATCTACCATTAGAAATTAGGAAAATCAATTCTTGACTGAACTTAAAAATATGTAAAAATTTATTTTAAATATTGTTTTTTATAACATTTTAAATAACTTTATTACTTCAATTTATTATAATTTTTATTGTATTTTATGACAGGGCTAAAATTGATAACAGAATTAAAATAATTATGAAGTAATTTATCCAATATAGGTATTAGTCAAATAAAATAAAATAAAATTGTCATCGTATCACTCCAGCTTTTGTATCTAAAGTGATTTCCTGCTTAGACTTTTCTACAGCTTGTAGTCTAGACAACATACCTGTTATAGTCTTGCAGAAGTGTTCTCTGGAGCTCTCGTCAATAGTTTCAAAACTATTTAACGAGTGCTTAATTATAACAAAAGCTGCATCTATTTTTTCTATGTTTTTCTGTCCTGCATATTTTCAAAAATTCTGAAGAGCATTCTGACTTGTCTAACTATTGTGCCATTATTATTCTTACTATAATAATCAAAGTTTTTGAGTCTTTAATAACCAAACACTTTATATATCATCTTGAATAAAATAACTTTCTGATCATCAATATGGATTTTGATCTTCTCATTTTACTGCTGATTTATTAATGGTAATAACTGATAGGTTTTATGATGCATTAGATAGATGTGTAGTGGTTAGGGTTATCGTTCTCAACATTATAAAACCTTTGATAAAGTATAGCATGCTGGTCTTCTCCATAAGCTCTCCTTTATATCAGGTAATATCTTTAAGATTATTATTCCTTCCTTACCAATTGTAGTATAAAAATTGTCTTTGATGGACAGCACTCTCATTCATATCCTGTAACTTCAGGAGTTTCTCAAGTTCCTCTTCTCTCCTTGGCCCTAATCTTTTTTAAATTTACATTAACAATCTCCTAGAAATTCTCACATCTAGGGTGACATTGTTCAGTGATGATACTACCATTTATTCTTGTCTTGATAAGAAGCCAACACTTTCTGATTGCTTGGAGGAAGTATTTGAGCTTGAAAAGGATCTCACTTCTGCAACAGCATAGGGCTCTCAGTGACTGGTGAACTTTGATTCAGATAAAACTTAATTTTTTCAGTTAATTGTTATTGCAACAGTTTAGATCTTCCTATATTTTGGAATGGTAATGTACTTGATGAGTCATCTACCTTTCGTCTTCTAGGATTAACTCTTACTTCTGATCTTTCTCGGAAACCATATATCAAATTGATTGCAAAATTAGCATCTGCTGAGGTTACATCACTTTATTATGCTCACCACCTTACTCTTGCTGCTAACCAATGTTGCTGCTAACACTACAGCAATGTGACCATAGTCACATTGCTGTAGTGTTTTTTTTCTTTCTCTTCTCTGTAAATACTATATCGGGTGCTGCTCTAAAGAGCTAGCATCTTTTGTGCCATCTACTAAAATTTATTCTTGTGTTACTTAACATTCAATTAAGTATCATTATTTTGCTGTGGCTGTTTTTTAGTGTTTAAAAAGTTCTTATTTGTCTAGTTTTTTCCTTGAAGATCAGTTTTTTTGGAATTTGCTCTTTTCATCCTGTTTTCCTAATTTATATAATTTTAAGTTGTTTGTTAATTGTTATCTTGCTTTATCTTCATCATCAACTTCATCCTCCAGTAACTTCTAGCTCCAAGGTTGCTTGCAGCCTTGTTAGAAGTGAAAACTTTTTGAAAAAAAAAAACTTTTTTAAAAAAAAATTTTTTAATTCATTTTTTGTTTAAACACCTGTTAATTTAACTATTATAAATTAGTAAAAAAGTTACTTAAGATAAAAAAAGAACATTACAAAAAAAAAAAAAACATGGTTGTTTTAAAATCAACAGATAAAAAACTAATAAAAATCTATTTGTGCATCGTACAAATCCTTAAAGAATTATTTATTTACAATTTAAATGTTTTAGATTAGAGACTAATTAATTGATATTAAAAATAATGCTAAAAAAAAATATGTTTTAAAATATATTACTAGAGCATTTTGTTTTTTAAAATAACTGTAAGCTGTTTAAATTAATTATTATGTTTTTAAAGACTTCTATTTTTAATTTTATATAAATGTTTAAAGTTTCGAGCTTTTAATTGTTATATTTAATTTGTAATAAATGAAGCATTGAATAATTATATTTATTCAATATATTAAGTTATTAAATATTTTGAATAAGATTAAAATAAGATATAGAAGTAGTCACAACTTCTTTTATTTGAAATTTTTTATATTTGGAGTTCTTTCATTTTTTAATATTACATTGTACTGTACAGTTTGTTTTTCTAGTTTTATTTGAATATTTATTAAATGAATTAAACTGTTAAAATTTAAATCGTAATTTTTAATTATAATAAAATAATAATAATAATAACAGTATTGTTTTATAATAAAATCTAATTTCAACAACTGAATTTTGTGATAAAAAAAAGACAAAAATTTTGAAAACCAGAAGTGTTTCAAATATCCTATTTTGCAATTAATTAATTTGCTCCTTCAAGTAAATCAAATAAAAATCCATAAATACTGTTCAAATATATTATTAGCAAAATTAATTTAAAAAAATACTATCCAAGCAGTAATTTTTTAAAATTACTTTTTCTCATATTCTTGTGAGACCAGAATTTTGTTTTATTGACATGTATGCAAGATAGGTAATTAAAAATTAATTGAAAAAATATTATTATTAAAAAAAAATTATTTTTTCAACTTGTGCTAACAGATGCCATTCTTTTACAAATTTTTACTGCATATGAAATCTGCAGACCTGATTGTGCTACAAACATATATATGAGATATGTCATAGTTAAACTTAAATAAGCATATTCAATCAAGCAACATCTAAAGTGTCAATTGTGGTACAAAGTATTGTGACTGCCATAGAGACCTAAAAACTCCTTAGAAAAAACTTTCTTAAAAATATATGTAATTTAGTTTTTAATTGCAGAAGGAGCCTAGCTCCATGGCCCCACTTTATAGGATTAAGGCCCCTCTTTTTGCCCTATACTTAATAAAACTTATAGGCCAATATTTTGCAAATAATATTGGAGTTATTTAGAACAAAAATTTAAATTTTCTACTCACTTTAAAATGAATTGGTTGGAATGGAGGAGGAATAAGTAATCCAGGTGGTTCTTTTTATTTGCTGGGGTATTTGAAAATTTATTATTTAATTTTTTATTTGAGTATAAATAAGAATTTTAAAAATATATATATATTCAAGTTAAAAAAAGTTAAATTATGTTTCCGAGTTGTTTAGAGCTTCTCAGCCTATAATGTCTCATATCCCTCAAATTCTTTTACAATATCCAATTTATACTATCCAATCATTGGATAGGGGCAACTAAATTTTCTCAAAACTTTCTCATAGATTCTGGTGATAGCTGTTCAGCACTCTTTTTGTATGCTACTTCAGTTTAGAAAAAGTTTTTTTACTTTTTTCTTTTTTTCTTTTGCAGCCTTTTTGTTTGATATGTCATTAACAACACTTCCTGAATGGACTTTACAGCTCTTCTGCCACAATATTGACAACAGCCAATCAATCAACAGCCAATCAATCAACAGCCAATCAATCAACAGCCAGGTTTTTTACAAAATCTTGAAAAGCTGTGAAGTCTTTGAAGCTATGAAGATTAACTTTATTTATGGAAGAAGGAAACTAGAGCCATTTAAATTGCTGCTCATTATATTCCAGAATAATAAAAAACTAGTCAAAACTCACAATATACTAGGGGGGGGGGGGGCAACTTTTGAAAAGGACAAACTGTTCCTTTATTCTAAGAAATCCAGAATTATTTTTCTTTACAAAAAAAGAGAATTGCAACTTTTTGGCAACAGTTGGCCCTGGCAAAGATAACTGTTGTAGGCTCAAAGTACTTTGTTTTTCTGATCTGCTAAAGACTACTGCTACTGCTAGTTGGATTCTCTCCAGAGGGGCATCTGCCAAATGAAATACTTGTCCTAAAAAGATAGATGGTAAAAATTCTATATTGTTGATAAAGTGTTATGCAATATATAAAAGATTTTTTTTTTTCTGAAATGAACTGGATTGTAAAAGTGTCTGGTCATACAGCAGTCAAAAAAATTTTCTTTTTGTCTTAATTTAAAAACTTTTACATGATTATTGCAGTAGTATCAAATCATTTCTTACAACATCGAACAACATCGAACTCTAGCAGAATGATTTTAATAACAATAAACTGATTAAGTCCTGTTCATGAACTCTATTAACACTCCATTCTTTTATTCTCCCCTGTTCTCAAGATAATATTAAAAAAAAGTTTATGTTCTTTATGATTTTAAATTAGTAATTTTCTTTTAAAAGTTAATTTCTATTAACTAATAATTTAATAAATGATGTCAACCGAGAAATTTAATAAATGCTGTCATAATGATTCATAAATGTGTCAAGCGAGCCACAAATCAGAATCAAAGGAAAATCTACTATTAAAAAATTTTTTTTTTAGTTTTAAAAGTTTTCAAAACATTTTGTACATATTAAAATTTTTTTAACAATTTAAAATATTAAATATTTAACACAAAAAAATATATATTTTCTGAAATGTTTATTGTTATTATAAATAATTAAATTAAACATTTTTTAGTAGTTCATTTTTTTAAATTATTTACTTGTTTTCTATTTTTTTGTCTAAACTTTAGCAAAAAATTTTTTTTAAGGTTGGAAGTTTAATTCTTCAATCGTCAAATGTAGGGAAAGAACATCTTTCTAATTATCAAGCTTTACTAAAACATTATGTTTGGGAGCAATTTCGGCCAGAACTGGCTTTAAATATAGCTATGAATTATTTGGAGAATGACTCAAATTTTCTTGAAGCTTACCAATTTTTAACTGAATATATTTCATCAAAACCCTACAGAGAGAATCCTTATTTTAACATCTTGTATGGACAGCTTGAATATTGTATGTGGAAAAAAGCTTATAATGATACAAAGAAAGCATGCACGCTAATAAAATATGAATGGGATGATGAAGAATGTGATTCAGGTTGTAGCTTTATGTTTTTAAGGCTATTGTTAAAATAAAGTAAAAATAAACCTTTATTTAGTTGTAAGCAATGAAACTGAAACAATCAAGTGAAACAATGTTTTGTGTAGATAAAACTTTTTTTAATTTTTTTTCGTATTTTTAACAATTATTTTTAGTCTACTGATTTTTATTTCACTTATGAATGAAAACTGCAACATAAATAGTTTTTATTATTTCAAATTAATTGTTTTTCTCAGTTTTTTTATTTTTTATTTTTAACTTGTTTGCTGATGTAGAAGAAATACAAGATTTACATTTAGAGATCACAACATGAAAGTGAGATGACAGCATAAAATTTGGACAAGAAGAAACTGAACACAAGCTTGGGCCAGAGACAAGTCACAAATCAAAGAGTAAAAATAGCTAAAAAAGAGTAAATTTATTTTCTAGCTAAATGTTAGAAGTTAAAAGAGTAAGAGATTGTGAAAGACAAAAATTTTGAGCTCAAGAGAGGGTCAGTGGTAATAGAGCCAAACCATTCTTTGTGAAAAGAATTAAAGTTACCAATAATGACAATATTGGGTGAGAGAAATTCAGAATGTGATTGTGATTGAGTGAGAGAAAATCAGAATGTGATTGGTAAATGTGAGCAATTACAAAAAGAGTGCAGTCTTGGGAAAAAAGATTTTGGATTTTAAAAATAATGCTCAAAAAATTTTTGGAGTTGTTACCTGCCCTCAATTATTAAATGAGTCTTTGATATCAGGAGAGAAAAAAGTTTTTAAAAAGTAGGTCATATTACAATACTAATAAGTAAAAGAAAAATAATTAGGAATGTCAAAATTGTGCACTTATATCCAGCTCATGTTAACAATACAATCAATTATCTCATTAACAATAATAAATTGTAACACTTGCTGTAAAAACTTTACAGCAAGTGCTGTAACAACTTTACACTTTATTTAACTCTTTATTTTTAAAGTATATTTAGAAAAGTGAAATAATTCAACCAAATCTTTTTCTTACTATTATACTCCTACTCGAATCTGTGTTAAGATATTTTTCTTTATTACTAAAACTTTCATAAGAAAAAGAGACATAACATGCAAAATAACATAATTTATGCATTAATTAAGCTGCTATTTAATTTTGTATGTTATTTGTTAAAATTATTATGTAAATTTATTATGTAATTTATGCAGATCAAATTATAGTTTTTTATTATTCAACTTTTTTTTTATTTCTTTCTTTCAACAGAACCAGTTGAGTCTATTTCATCTCAGTTTCACAGACAGAGAGCACTGTTACATCTATCTTTAGTTGAAGATCGCCTCGGTACCTGGGATTTAATACTTCCTAAATATATTGAACTAAATAAAGATAATGTGGTTCCTATTCTTCAAAAGCATCTTAAAAACAATCCAGATAATCCAGTTTCATACTGGTAAGTTGGGAACTAGTTTCTTACTGGTCTTGTTTTTTTTTTATCATTCTTGTTTAATTTATTGTGTTTTCATTAGTTCATTAGTGTTGTTGGAAGTTTATTAGGGTAAATCAAGCAAAATGGTTATTCTTGCTTACCTTAACATTTTTTATTACCTTAAGGGAAAATGTTGTTAAAGTTTTTTAAAAGTTAAAATTGATAATTTAAATTGGCAGGTGGTTAAGAAATTGAAAAGTGAACAATAATAGCGCAATTAAAAATTAAGTACAATTTTCTTTTCTTTTTTTTTTTCATACAAATATATATTTTCAATCTCAATTTTCTCATATTTTCTCATATTTGTAAATTTTCAATTTACAATCCTTATGAAAATAAGAATCTTATTTTTTTTGAAGATTTTTCTCAACAAAATGTCTCATTTAGTTGAATGCAAACAATTTTTTGCTTTATCTCATAGTCAGTGGGCTGTTATACGAGGTTTTAGCACCAAAAAAGACCAATGAAGAAAAAACTTAAACAAAACCAATGAAGAAAAAACTTAAACAAAACTATCTGGTTCAAATGAATTTCTAATGTATCACTTTTAAAAAAATTTCTTCCTTTAAAATTTAATATTTTAAAATATCAAAGTATAACTATTTTAGTTTAATGTAACAATGTTGCTGGGAAATAATTATCAAAATTTTTTTTATTTATTTGTATAAACCATTTTTTTGATCTGCCAGTGGGAGGGGGGGGGGGGGCAACTGGTTACCCAAACGCTGGATCAAAAAAAGGCACAGAATGGCCAAAATTTTTATTCAAGATGTCAGTAGTTAGGAATGTCAACAAAACAGTATAAGCCAAATTTATAAGCGGGAATCTGAGACTAGTTGAAGCATTTGTGTAAAAATTATTGATGAGCTGCTTTGTTTATAAAATACATAAGATTAAAATACATTGCATACTTAGGATTCTAATATTTTTTTTAAATTCACTAAATATTACAAAAATGCATCCAAGTTCAATACTTAAATTTTTCTTCTTTTTATCTAAACAAAGAAATTTAAAATCATTATAATATCATAAATTATACTAAATTATGCTATAAACTTATGAACTTATATTGAGCTCTCTTTGAATAATTTAGTATCAAAAAAGTTATTGATTAGTCTTAGTTTATTTACTATGTACAAAACAAAAAATATTGAATTTCAAGAAAAAATATTCTGGCTCTCAAGGCTTAAAAAGCAACCACTTCAAATACACTTAGAAAAAACCAAAAAAACCACTTCAAATACACTTAGAAGAAGTTATTCACTGCCAACAAGAGAGTGAAAAAATTAATGTTCATTATTTGGGTTTAAGTTCTCAAAATGAATTAATCAAACATCTCTTATACTGAGCAGATCAATTTTGTTCTCCTGTTTGTCTACTATGGTGTTTGTAAAAGATGGGTAGTTAAGGAGTATTTTCTCAGGTTCAATAATCTCAAAATAAATGAAATATCATTGCTAAGGTAATTATTAATGTCTCATACCTAAATAAAATCAATTTAAAAAACTGCAGAGGTCAAGGAAACGTCAATAAAGCCAAAATGTCTGGTGTGTACAAAGATCTTTACATGGCATTTAGCGCTCATAGCCTTAACCTTGCTGATGTTCATTCCACTGAATCTTCTGTTGAAGTCAAAAACTATTTTAGTTAGGTTCAGTTACTCTAGAATGGAAGTGGAAGCTTTATTTGATGAAAACTCTTGGCCAAGTCGCAAACCCAATAGAGTGCATGCAATGAGATTGTAAAGCCGTTGGTTAAGCAAACTAGGAAAATCCTTATATCTTTGCAGAAGCTTGGTGACCTTGATCTAACTGCTAATCCATTGAATGCAATAAAATATATGGAGAAATGATTCAGTCATTTAAGTTCATCATCGTAACAACTTTTTGGTTCAAACCACTTAAAGCTATGAAATATCAGCATCTTAATTAAACCAGAAAACCTTAGATAATGAAATGAAGCTTATGATGAATCTAATTAAAAAATCTCAACAGACTTCAAAAAGACTCAACAATCTTCTTAGCCAAAATTCACTAATGAAGTGCATTAGAGAGATTTCTTCCTTTTTTTCTTTCTTTCTGCAAGTTTTCAATTAGATTTTTTTCAAAAGAGGACAATAAAGAGAAAAACCTTTTACCAAAAGCCAAGAACAAAGTTTATTTACACAAAAATTAAGAGAAGCAGGTAAAGGTAAACGAATTCAATACCACTCTTGATCCAGTAATTTAACAAAAAAGGGACAGGTTTTAAACTGCATAAAAGACGAAAAACAGTTTTTCATTCCTATGGTTTTAAGAATTTAATAGTAGGTGGAGGAGAAATAAAAAACCTTTGGCACAATTCTATGTAAAAATGGGGATAAAGGGAAAGTTATTGGAGAGATTCATCAAGTAGATCCTCTGAAGCATGTCAATTTTTTATTCCAAAAGAATTTCTCACTTCGATGAAGCTGTTAAATGGGACTACTAGAAAGGTCTATTGTCTCTTGTTTTCTTTGTTAAATAAAATAAATCATTTGGTTATTGTTGTGAATGACGTCTTTCAAGCTTCTAGAAAATAATTAGAGTTTGTTTTTGAATACTAAAATTAATAATGAGTCTAGTAGGTTAAAAAATTACACTCATTTATTGGTTATTTAAAAAGTATTAATATAATATGTTGTGGTTGCGAATATTACAGTTGATGTTTGTAAATAATATTTGCTAAGTGAAATCATTTGTGTTTCAAGGAAACTTTTAATGATTCTTCACATGATAAAAATAAAATCTTCCATATAGTTGTTTTCAATTTCTTTTAGACATAAGAATCTAAAAAAAACATATTTTTGAGAAGAATGCGTCAAAAGAATTGAGCAACCAGGAATAAAGACAATAAAATTGTTTTTACTTTTTTAAGTTCAGGTTATTTTTATACTATCGGTTCATACTTATTTTTTATTCAGATTCACTTCAATAAAGACTGCAAACAACACTTAAGTTACATAAAGATATTACTATTAAAATACAGTAAAGAGGCTTTGCAAAGTCAAGCAAAAATAAGTTTTGCTAGAGTTAACGTTCACAAGCCACTGCAAGCTCCAATCTGTTACAGAAGTGAGATCAAATTCAAGATCGGTCGCCTGTTCTAAGCGATTGAAAAGAGAAGACTTTTTGTTAAGGCAGTGATTCTTAGACTTACCTTTGTTAATGACTCTGTCAAAGATTTTCTAGAGTCTTACTTCTGATATAAGATATAAGATTTAGTGAACTAGGAATAATGGTACTTAACATCAGACAGTACCATCAAAGTAGAATGAGGCTTGATTTGGAACCAACAAGAAGGAGTAGAATCTAGCATTCCTGCCTGAATCCAGGAAGTTATATAGGAGGCACTATTACAGTGGAAAAAAAGAGACATCAGCCCATGGACATAAAAAAAAAATCATGAAAAGAATTTAAAGTTAACTAAAAAAAAAAAAAGATTGAGAAATGCAAAAGTTATGGCTTTAGTGCCTGCAGGGTCAGTTGTGTTAAAGTCTACCCATTCAGTGTGATGAGCATTAAAGTCACCAATAACAACAATATTGGCAGAGGGGTAAAGAGAAAGGGCGCATTCAGTTTGATCAAAAAGTCAATTTGATCAAAAATTACATCTAAAAGAGTGAAAGTAGGAAAATCTTGGAAAGTACGATAAAGGTGATGAGTGAAGAGGGGCTAGATGGAAGCATATAAAAGAGTGGTCTAAAGATTCAAACCTTATTTCTCAACAAATAGGTAAATTGATGCATAAATATACCTCTAAGCCAAACATGTGACTGTTCAAGTTTTTGTAAATCAAAGAATAGTACCCATCAATGCTAAGATCTGATGAAGGAATAGCCAAATTTAAATTGTTCTCTCAAATAGCAAGCAAGTCTGGTGATTTTTGCTAGAGGTAAGATTCAACTGATAGAAGGTTACTTCATAAAGGCGCAAAATGTTAGAGAATGCCCATTAAATTATTTATTTAGAAAGGCAGATAAATTTTTCGATAAATAAAAAAAAATTATGTTTTTAGCTAATATATTAGTGACAAAATTTTTTATGTATCTAAAAATATTTAGTAAATTCAGATAGTTTTCTTTTAAAATTATTTTACCAGCATGAAAATCGGTAAACAGCTTAAGTTGTTTTTTGATATAGAATATATTTTTAAATAAATTAATTTATGTGTAAAATTTGTTTTAATTACATTTTTTTGTGTGTGTTTCTCGTACTTAACTCAGTAATTTTGTTTTTTTAACAAAAAACCAGATTAAATATTAAGTTTTGAAACAAAATTTAAGAAATTCCTTAAAAAAACATTTTAAAAAACATTTTAAAAAGAAGCCATTTAAGAAATACTTTTTAAAAACATAAAAAAACAGAACTGGGTGGGAAGATGAAAAAGGAGGACACAGGAACTTGTCACTTATATAAACAACTTTATCATTAATGAATATCCAGAGTTGAGTGTTAATCAATTATCAGGTTGCCTCTTATATAGAGTTAGTACACAAATATGACTATTGCTCATGTTGGCAATTCACTTTTCAAAAACCATATGGAAACAATAGATGAGTATATAGCTTTAATGCATTACACTAATTAATGAGGGAATGAGAAATTTAAGTTTTTTCTTTCTTCAAAATACATCTGTTTTCCAACAACCAACAAATTACTTGAAGGAAGAAAAAAACTGTGCCCTACAATTAGTCATGTTTTGGGTGCAAAAAGTTTCTGTTCAATACAAGGAACTTGTAAGAATGACAATTGATTCTGTTTTAAATATAATTAAAGATTTTTTTGTTCCAATACATGGTGATGAGTATCAAATATATTTTAGGATGACTGTAATGGAGGAGTAGGGCAATAAGTATCAATGAAATCAAAAGAAATGATTGAAAGCAAATCAAATGTTTCGATATAGTCTTAATCCCCTGAAACTAGTATGCCATCGAGATAGTA